ACGCTAGAGACTTGAATTTAATATTAGAAATCATATAGCAAATTTGATTCGTAGGCGGGGTTTGGAGGTCTATTTGAGGTATATTTGAAATCTGTCCCAGAATCCCCCTTTTGGCCTATATAGAGCATAACAATATTATCACTATAATATCAGTTGCTAATACTTCTGTAATTATACTATAGGTTTGAAATTTCTTAATCTCAGAGAAATTCTCTTTCGAGAAATAATATTTTGTATTTGGGAGAGATATAGATAGAAAAAATACTGTAAATATGGGTGGGATAATTTATTTAGTATAGTAAAAGGCTGTTAGGAGTAAGAATCACGTAATTAGCAATAGAAGTATAAACAAAGCTTCAGATATATTTTTCGAAAATGTGAAAGAGTAAAAAAATAACTTGATGCTGGGACTCACATTAAATGGCCTAGGATCCGTGTACTCCCTCCCTCTTTGATAGCATCATATGTTTCTCTTTTTTCTCTAGAATTATATACCTAAAAAAAATAATCAATAAAGTTCAGGACTTACAAATTTTTTCTTTGCAAAAAACTGTTACGATCAGAATCATGTGACTTTGGATCAGTAAATTATGTAATACATATGGATATAAAAATAGGGTTGTGACCATCACACGATATAATAAAAAAGATGTCTGAAGGCACTTCTGCAAAGTATTGGGAACGAAATTTTATAGCGATGTTATTTTTTGTTCAGTCCGAAGATTGGAGCCTCTTGAACTTCCTAAAGTATCTTGACTCAGTGAAGAGTTTGGACGACCGTTCTGAAGCACATCATAAGTATAAACTTCTTTTGAATAGTATCAAGGATAATAAAGAAATGTCGGAAGAAAAAAGAAAAAAGGCTGAACAGGCACTGTTAACTTACGAATCAACAGTTAAGTATTTTTATTATTATTATTCAATATTATCGTCTAGAGGAAAGAGGAAGGAGTGTTGGTTGAGGCTGAAGAACCCTGCCATTGAGGTGGTAGGCACTCGTGCTAGGTTGAGGCTGAAAAACCTCTGTCGAGGCGGAAGGTGCACCTCTGGATTGTTTTTAGGTGCTTAAAAATAAGTACTAGACAATCTCAATAAATTCCAACAACTAGCTATTTCTTTGGCTTTTAGAATGAATCCTGTTCTTTCGAGATTGGAGAATTTTAGCTTCAAATATTTCTTAATAAAAAGGCTACGAAAAGTACTGAAAGAATTATTGACCAATATAGTATAAGATGAAGCGAGTGATGTTTTAGTTCTCAGCAAGAGAGACAATCTTAGGAGACTACGATCAGGTATTTTTATTGTTAAATTTATAGCACCTCATTATTTTTCTTTGTTGGCTCAGTTGATTTTTTACATTAAATAGATTTTGAAATTGGAGACAATATCGAGGGAGATAGACTGAAAAAGGTATATAATAAATCAAGTAAACAACGCGTTACTCAAAAATAATGACCAAACTTATTATGTTATATAATGAACCTGAACGGCCATGTACACCGGAAGATAAGGTATTTCCCATCATTTCTTTAATGTACCGCCCATTCTTCTCATCCTTCGCATGTGTATACAGATCCGTACTGTTATATTCGATGAACATGTGGAGGTAAATATTATTAGTATTTTTAAGTTAGGAGGCCATTCATACTTTCTATATACATATTCTCTGTATAGGACTAATTCTAATATTATAATTTGCTAAATCATTTTTTTGTAATACGGTACAGACCAAAACGTTTAATAACTCATTTGACGAATTTGTTGACTCCGGCGAGACTTCTGGTGAGACTACAGAAATTGGCGTGAGTATTTAAAAAAATCGAGGTTATATTTCTTCTATTGTGCATAATATATTTACTTTCTCAACATCTAGGACAATGTCAGCGATAGTGAAGAACCTGATCAAAATGATGAAGAAAGTTCTGATGATAATCATGACGATGAGGATTTCAGTGGACGCAATATTAGAATAAAGATGGAGGAAATTAAACGAAACAAGCTAGCAATTGCAAAGGTAGTAGTATTAATAATTATTTGTATTGTTTGTATTCTAACTATTCTAATAATACTTTGCAATAAAAGGATGAAATAAAGGCTGAATATTCAGCAAAGTATCACAAATTGCGTCCAGAGAACAAATGGAAATTGCCTTCCGGAAAGTTCGTTGAAGATATACTATATGAATATACAATAAATTTGGATCATGAAAGGTAGACATTTAAAGCATACATAGGGTCTGTTATAATAGCAATCTAACTATAAAGTTATGCTTTTAGCTATCTACACAGTTTTATATTCGATACAAGTGATGAAATAATCATGAATCTTTTCAGTGAACTTGATCAGCAACACATCGGAGAATGTAATATTCCTTCAGAACCGCAAGTAGATGACACTTTGCTAGATTTTCTTTTACTCTACCGACTAGTGAGTATAATCAATTACTACCGCTAATGTATAGCAATGTATATAAACCATTATGTTATATTTGTGTCTTTTAGAATAATCCTCAAGATCTGCGTAGGGTAATCAACATCGATATAGATTTATCTTCTTATAACCCATGGAGAAATTATGACTATTACTACGTTCATGAAGTTTTTTCTCATTTGTGAGTATTAATAAAATTTTTGTGCATCTTCAATATTATTTGAACTAAAACTTGTCATTACTAGACTTTTACGGTATGAACTTAGGCCTTAGGACTTTTCTAATCCTCACTTAGAGGGTTGGTTCAAAATGAACCTCTGAAGCATAATAGTAGATAATTGTTTTTTAGATGTATTAGATGCAAAATTTATTCGGTTAGTGTACATTATATATAAATGTGCGTAAGCAAGCATAAGCAAGCATATTGAATATAAAGAAAATTTTTTTAATGAAATTCCTTTTAGTGGTGAAGGTTGCTCTCGTCTCGTGCCTCAGGGCAATGAAAAACAAAGGAAGAAAAGATTCAAAAGTTCAAAAGCTTGTCGGGCGTAAGTGTGATGGAATCTTACGAAAGTTGGAGACACCAGAAGAGTTTGCGATAAGTGAAGAGGGAAAATTGTGGGATAGGGAAGACGGAACCAAATTCTTGGCCGATGGATTTAAGAAATTTCCAAAAACTATGCGAGACACACTAGTTCAAAAAGTCAAAAAGTTTAACCTCAGTTTTGTAATTTCTCATCAATTAGAAGTTGTGGGTTTCCTTCATTCTGGTAAGATACCTGGTATTCTCCTATACATTATTTCGTCTTTTATTAAACATTCTATTTATTATTCATCATTCTGCCAGGTCAATATCTCCAGCAATTAGTTATGGATATACCATGTGGGTCAATTTGCCGATTACGTAGGTTTCCTACTACGAAAATTCCAGCAAGCTTGGACGAAGTTGATGAATTAATAGCAATGGTGAATGACATGCTTATTGCAAAAGTATGTTCCATTAACTGCATTCAATTGATCCATTTTCAATTAGTAACTGATTTAATTTTATTTAGTTATGAATTAAAAGATGTTTAGAATCTGTGAATAATTATTATTCTAGCAATATAGAACTGAAGAGACGCTTGAAGAACAGGAAATAAATTAAAGCAAGAGGAGATAACTTTCCAGATACACAGAAGACTCCAAAAGCAAAAAGGATTAAGTTAGTAAAAGAGATCAAAATCGGAATTTAGGTGTAAACTATGCCATATACAGTGGTTACGTGGTAAAAGTTTGGTTTGCCATATAAATCTGGATAAAAGTGATCGGTATTACAATTTGTGTGGGCTTGGTTTAACACTTTAAAATTAATAAAAAAAAACTTCCCACATCGGTTTTTAACTAACTTTGGCAAAAGTGATCAGTATTACAAATTGTAACGCACACATGATTTGATCGGAACTGTGTCACAATATTGACGCGTAAATTTATCCTCACTTAGTCTATCAATCTGCGGAAGATAACCTATCGCATAGTCTGATAGATTATCTTTTTCGAATGAATATGAGAAAAAAGCACATGCAAACTTTTTTTTGCGCAAAACTATATCTAATAAAATGTTCCATTCTGACTATAAACATATTATCAATAGACTTTCCGAAAGCCTTGTCAAGAGAGCGTGTGAGAGACTCTTATACCATTCTAAAGATCCTGTCCCGTTAGAATCTACTTCTGAAAAGTCCAAACGAATTGAATCTTATTTGATGCACACATTAGAGATTTATGAGAATTCCTTAAATAGAAAACGCAAAAAATATGGCTCAGAAAAAATTACTATGTCCTCAAAATGTAATGCATTTCTAGCATTACCATATGTATGCGTTTTAGATAGTGAGGTTCAAACTGAAAGTATCCCTTATAATCATGAGAAAGAAAATAGCCACTGAGTTATGAATGAACTTAAAGTCTTATCCCAATATCTACCCTTTTTTCTCATGAATTCGAAAAAAGAAAATCTATCTTGGGCAGATTGGATATCTCCTGCAGATGCATAGCATCAAAGGGGGGAAATTACGTTACAAAGTTGAGGATCTGAAGATGCAGGTACAGGAGGTAGAAAAAGAGCTAGCATCTATAAAGTCAGATTCTACTCACTAGCTTGAACACCTTTTTCAAGATCGAAAACAATGAATTTTTTCTCACATAATGCCTTATCAATAATCTTAATCACACCACGCCAGTCATTAGCATATTGACGCATAATTCTAACTAGCTCATCTGTGATGCACGATTCATTAAATAGGCAGACATGTGTGAGATTTTTCGTATTATTTTTAGACAATCAAAGTAACTCTAGGATACATATATCGAACTGATGTTGTAATGACATCCCTCAACAAAATAATGAATGATTTTCTCCTGCACTTTTTTTGGATCAGCATATATATCTTCGAATATGGGCACTGTACCTCTATCTGGAGAAAACAAATCCACTTTAGGTATTTTATCAGGTTTTATTGCTCAATATAATATCTTCACGATATGGTTTTGGGCTATTTGCAATTATCTGATAGGCTGATTTGAGATACCTATATTTCAGCTCCTTAAGATTATGGCTGATGAGTAGTAAATTATCATACTTGATATAGTGTGTCCCTCTTTTCTTTCCATTAAACATTCGATAAAGCTTATTTCCGAGCATGAGATTAAGAACCTCATTAGTTTTTCCTGAATTAGTATGGTCACAAATTAGTAAAGTGAAAGGCCATTAGGAAACACTCGAATGTCCTTTATATTTTTTGGCATCTTTAATCTCGTTAATATGATATACGAGCCTATCAACTGGTTTAAGTTTATTTATTTTCATATCAAATGGAGTATTATTAATGATATACTAAAATAATTCCTTTTAATTCTTTGTCTCTTTCAAGAACCCTTTTTCGATTAGAGTATGTTTGATATAGGATAGGAGATCAGCTGTATAGGGAACTTTGATAAGATATATACCTTGCTTCTTGCATATATCTCGCTTCTTCTGATCTTGTGATTTTTGTTCATTCAAATCTATACATCCTCTCCTATGGAACATTGAATTAAGAATATAATGTTGCTGACTATGGAATTCAAATGCTAGTTGTAGTTCTTCGTTATACCCATCAAGTTGCATTTCATTCAAAAATAATGGTCTACAGGATAGGAATTTTTTATCTAGCAGATCCTTAAAAATATATTGTGAATTGCGTTCACCGCTAGTATGATGACATAGAGGGCACCACTCGAATTTCTTCATGATGTATTTTAATGGATATTCCCATTGATGTGCACCATCCTCACAAGACCAAAGATATATATTATGTCTATTTATTTCTCCAGTCTTTCTTAGACATTGACCACCACGTCTTTGAGCATAACCAATGGCTTGGTTTAACTCACTATTGATAGGAGAAGCATGAACGAAATTTATGGATAATATACTTTGAGGTGGATACCCAACTTTTTCTGGATTAACTATTAACATGAGTTCTTCTCGTACAAATCTGCGAGATGGTGCAAATTCTCCATCCAGATAATATAAAACTGGCTCGTTTTTTATGATAACAATTTTTTGAATTTTATGAATAGAAGGTGAGTATGTGGGATCAGTAGCCTTTTTTTGATTCTCCATTCCTCCTTCCCATTCTGCAATAGCAAGAAGATATTGAACAGTATCACCTTTCTTTAACGTTATTTCATCTTTTCCAACTGGACGCTTATATTTTGTGGTTGATCTTGATTCCACTTTTTCTAACATAATAGCTTTTATAGGTGCAAAACCCCATTTCTTAGTCCTTGGTTCTCGAATGAAACATGTAGGATAATTATTTAGATAATCAATAACCATATGCAAATGCCTAACTCATACTTTTATTAATTTTAAATTAGGATATATAGAATCAACAGCATCTTGGATTTTATAGAGTATTTTTGTGAGTGTCTAGTTAAAATATTCTAGAAAAGCTACTCCTCAATGAGAATATGGACTGATCACTTGAATAGTAACATTATGCTCCTTCATCAATTGAGAAGTCTTTCCCATAAATTCACGAGCTCCATCATATTGTAAAAGCTCTGGCTATACAAGTGGATTATTAGGATCATTATATATTTTTCTGAATGCTCTAGCAACTTCTGAACTCTTCTTCAA